AGCCCAATGTATATTAATTTTTTTCTACAAAACTCTTTGACTTATTTATTTATGCATGTATTAATTACTTGTTTGTTTCTTTATTTTTACCAATTCCAAAGAAAATTTATCCATATGTCATGTAGCATAGTACTTTTTCTGCACTTGAGTATCTTGGCTATGTGTATATATGTGTAACATCTGACTGCCTTGTGTAGGAGGAGGCCAGAAAAAATGGTTTCCTTCACTCAAAATGTAGTTACATATAATTGAAATTTTCCATTTGGATGCCTGGAATCAAACTAAGGACCTCTGGAGGAGCTGACAGTGCTAGTCATCAATGTGAATTCTCTACAGTGCGTGTTTAAATTCTTGTATAGCCTCCTATGGAGATCAGGGTTAATGTTGGACCTATATCTTATTTATAGAGTTTAGAGTTATCCATAGGATCAATACTTCATCCTATAAACTCTATAGAGAGTATTAATATTCTACATAAGGAGAAATATTGATTAAGCTAATATCTATTCTTCTTGCTATTTATAATGCCCTTTAGCATTAAGAAGAATAGTATGAAAAGTGTAACTTTATATAAATTCTAAATTATCTATAGTATAAAATATCACTTCTCCAGAATTTTCGAAGATGCAGTGATTCCTTAAGTCCCCCTAGGCTAGACTCACAATTTAAATTATTTTACAAGCTATCAAATTCTATGTGGTTTTATTATTGATTATTTTTATGAAAATCTTCATGATAAAGTAGAGGTAAAGAAATTTTGTCATAGTTGTTCCAAATATGGATAAGATGACTCAGTAAATAGGTTATTTCTTTCAACACAATTTAATAAATTACATCTCTAAATGAAAGAAATCTGTATTACTCTAATAAATTATATACTCTCACAAAATATTTCATATTCATTTTAGAACAGTGGTTATTAAAGAGTTGTTATTGCTTCTTTAGTTGGCACTTAATAAAAATGAGGTTAGTATAGAATTAGAATACTATAAAATAAATTAAACAAACAAAATAGATGAAAGGATGCTAAAATTAAGTCAATGAACCCATTACTCACTTCAAGCTTGTGAAAAATGTTACTTTGTTTTGTTTTTCCTTCAGTGAACATCCACTCTCCTATATCTACAATGATGTTTTGTGACATTTAATTTTGGAAAAACTTGATATCCTACAGTGCAGAGAATAATTTCACACAACAAAGATTTGTCTTAGTTAAAATGTGAAAAATAAAAAAAGCCCTATGGAGAAAGTCTATCAACAACAATAATGTGATGATATTTTTCCAACAACTTCTTTATGGAAATGGGTGTTAATTTACATTTAAAACAAACAGTATAAAAGTGAATTAGTGGTGGACTAAAATAGGCCTTGTACATTTAAATAACTCTTTCACAGCTTGTGAAAGTAAATTATTGTGATAAACACAGTTAATTGAGAAGTTTTGTTGTCTTCCAAAGACAACTCAACTTCACAGAAGCTTAATGAAATAAAGTGTGAATCTGGTGTACTGAGTTTGAGCTTTGCTTTCAGATAATATAGAGAGTAGAGTGTGAGCTTCAAGCAATTCAGTGGAAAATTGAACAGTTTGTTACTTTTCATGAATTTTACTAGTATTTTATTTCATGGCTTAGTCAACTACTTTACATAGCATTATAGTCAAAATGTTTTATATATGCATATATATATATACATACATAACATATGTATATGCTATATATGCATATGATATATATGATATAATTTAAAATGTTCAAGAAACCTTGATTTAAAACTTTGTTAGCCGGGTGTCGGTGGCACATGCCTTTAATCCCAGCACTCAGGAGGCAGAGGCAGGCAGATCTCTGTGAGTTTGAGGCCAGCCCCGTCTCCAGAATGAGTGCCAGGATAGACTCCAATCCTCAGAATTTTATATACAAGAAGAAACACATAATAATGTTTGTACTATATATGATGTGAGCCTGAAGTCACCTGTGCAATGTTTTAGATCACCAGTACACCACAAAACATTACAATGTAAGAGGATATAATTTTGTAATTATTGTTGATTTGTAATTTATTTAGAGAATAAAACTGTTTTACCTATTTACTGAATTTTACATACACGTTTATGCTATAAAATAACAAGTACCAAGCTAATAAATTAATTTAATTATGAAGTTTTATCAATGAGATCAATGATAACTTGCAAAGTTCATTAAACATTTGTACACTATCATTATATTTATGTAGTAATTCTGTTAATGGGAAACTATTAATATAATCTTTATGTTTTATATGAATGATCTAAATTCAATAATTTTATCTAAGGATAAAATTAGTTGTCAAAATTCAACTCAGACTTTTTAAGCAAATAATGTGTCTTAATAAATATAATATTATGTAATATATATTTCAGAATCACTCCCCAATATTATCAATGTATGCCTCATTCACAACCTATAGAGTGGAATATACTTGCTAACTTCATTTTCCACTATTTGACTATGTGATTTTAGAATTCAGATACATTAATTTGTTAAAAATTCATTAAATGCTGCATAGAGTGTTTTAACTTATGCTGTAAGGAAGTTTGACAGCAAGATGTTTAGATTAATTAGAATGAGTCAACAGTTAAGTATTTTGGTGCATTTTTCAAAAAATTATACCATATATTAAGAATCTTCATGCTACAGAATATTAATTTATTAAAAATTTGATAGATCTAATTTAAGTATAACTTCTGGCCTTCCATAACCCATCCCTTGATCCTATTTTATTTAAATCTATACCCCTTATTTGTCATCAAAGTTGAATTTGCCTTATTTATTAATATATCATGAATATTTCATGTATAAAAACTTCTGATTATATTAGTGCCACACAGAGAACTGCATTTTGTTTAGTAGAATAAATATCTTTATTAGATAAGGTAAGATCAGTGAACTATCCCTGCAAAGATGGTTAAATCACTCTAGGAGAAAAGCCCCTCAATTTTGATAACACATCAGCGCACAGTTATGCCCACCTGATAATGCATCTTTCTCCTGGTGGAATAGTTTTTGCATAAATACCTCTCTTATTCATCCTTGGTGTTTTTGCAGTTGCTACCTCATAGTTTCCTGTAATAGAAGATTATTTCCCCTTTATGTGAAACACAACGGAGAACAAATCTGGCTTTCAGAGAAGCAATATCTGTGTTTAGTAATATTATCTTTGTATGTTTTCAACAGGTAACCCGTTATTAACGAGCAAAGTCAACATACTTATTAATGTCCTGGATGTCAATGAATTTCCTCCAGAAATATCTGTACCATATGAGACAGCTGTATGTGAAAATGCCAAACCAGGACAGGTATGTAGCCAATATTTTTAATGAAGTGTGTGTAATGGTCTGCTCTATGTTTATACATTAAATTTTAATATTTCCCTCCATCAGATAACTTTGTAAAATAAAATATACATGATGCTAGTTTCATACAAATTAAAAGTAGATATATGTATGTGAGAGTAATTCCAGAGTAGCATAGTAGGCTCAATTTTCAATAGCTACAATAGTAACAAATGTTACTGCTGCTTTCTTCAGTGTCTGAAATAGTAAATGATGAAGTACAATTTGGCTAATAATAAATAATGTCATTTTGGTTGTGTGAAACATTAGAAGAGACAGATTAAAATTTTGTACATCAGGTTGTTTTTGGTTTTCAAATGCTCCACTATATTAAGGTTATTTTAGAGCGAATAAAGTTTCAAATCATCAAAAATCTTGCAATTCTTTAAATTACTCCCTTAAGGAATTAGTCTCTATTAAATTAAATGTGAATTTGTTATATCATAAAGTTTTGAACTTTAGGAAATGTAAAATTTCTTAGATTTCAATTTCCTTTCTTTATATGTGGGGAAAATAAGGAAGAATCAGCCTGTGTGCCCAGAGGCTCTATTTTAACAAATACCTTTTGTTTTCCACCAGAAAACTCTTATAAAAAGAGATGACTCTGAAGTCTCCTTTGAGAGTTCAGAATATGTGAGTTTGGACCATTTTATATACATGGACCCACCCATTATGTCCCTTTTGAGAAGTATACATAAGGATAGCTTATCTATCCTCTATCATTGTCTAATAAGAAGAAATATATGCATATGTGTATGTATGTGTTCTGTCTGTGTATCTAATTACCTATATATCTATAGATCAGTGTCTAGCATGAATCTTTCCTCTATCTACCCATCTCTTTTTTATTATTTATCAATGTGAAGGGGAGATTAAAATGAGAGAATTTTATTATGTATGTTTGAAGTTCTATATTGGTGTTTTTTTTTTTTTAGGAAGTATGTCCCCCCTCCGTGTGTGTGTGTGTGTGTGTGTGTGTGTCTGTGTGTGTGTGTCTGTGTGTCTGTGTGAGTGTGTGTTTGTTTGTGTGTGCATGCGTGTGTCTTTGTATGTGTGTGTGTGTGTGTGTTTGTGCAAGTGTGTGGAAGAAAAATACATCAGCATTCCATGTATACACAGATGGCCTTGAACTTACTATGTCCCAGAGAATGTCCTTGAGATTCTGATGCTCTTCTACCTCCATGGTATTGATTGTAGAGTATAATTTGTGAAGTGCTGTATCAAATCTGGGGCCTTTGTGCATGCTAGGCAAGCACTCTTACAAGTAAACTACAGCCATAGATATTAAATATGATTGATTTAAATAATGATATTTTTTATTAATTCAAAGCAAAACACCTGACAAAATTTAACATATATATATATATTTATATAATATGAAGTTATATAATATACACACATATGTGTTATGATATGATACATTTATTATTTCATATTATACAGAAACTTTAAGGGTAAGATAAGATGATGTGAGGACATTGCTCTAAGTCTCAACAGAGTAAATTTCATATTTTTCAGTGTTCTCTAGAGGAACAAAACAAATTTAATTATTATGTATATGGGGGGCATTTAGTAGAATGATTTACAGGCTATGGTTCAGATAGTCCAAAAATGGCTGTCTATTAAAGAATATTTCAAGTTGGGTACCTCAGATGGATTTCAGTTTATATAGGAATCCTGAGAAAATAGGCTCTAATGCCTGTGAAGTAATGACCTTGCCAGTAAGATCAAGACCAAGCAGGCAAAGATGAAATTTTTCATTCTTGTATATGTTATATGTGCTTCCAGCAGAAGGTGTGGTTCAGATTTGAGGTTGTCCTTCCCTTCTCAAAAGATGTAGATTTAGGGTGAGGTTTCCCACCTCAAATAATTCAGTCAAGAAGAAGCCCACACAGGTATACTTAGTCACTTGGGTTTGAGTTAATTTTATATGTAGTAAACTGACAACCAAGAATAATTATTGTGGGAAATTACCAATACGGAGTCAGGTAGAAATATAAGGGTATTTAATAGGGAAAAGCCTTACTTACAGAGCAACCTAGCCAGCTGGCGTGGTAGAGGTCTGTACAGCAAGAAGAAAAGAGAAACCGAAACCGAACACGCAGTCCCACTACGTCACTCTGACCACGCCCTCACAAGCCTGGTCAGGCTCACCTGTAGCCAGCCCCTAAGAAGGCGTGGCTACAGCTTTCCCTACAAATAATCATTAAAGTTGTTATGGTGAAACTGACTAAACTGTTATTTTCTGTGATCTAATGTTTCTAAGTGTTGTGTTATAGAAAGGCAACTGATAATTTTAGGGAACAAATAAATGTATTCAGTTGTAAGAACTCACATTGAGGAAAGGCGGGGAATTCTTACTAAACAAATTATTTTATATTTTTCATGCCACAAATATTAATACTTAACAGCCCTATCTATCTGTCTATCAGTATGTCGCTCTACCTATCCATGTACCTATCTATCTATGTATTTATATATCTATCTAACTATCACTTCTCTATCTACCAGTAAGATAAAAAACAGGACAAACTTATTTGTTCTACCTGGGCATCTATGAATCAACACCTATGTCCTTGGATATCAGGCAATGTCTTATATGGAATGATGTTGCCTGGGTCCTAAACACTGACCAAATGCCTGACAGTAAGGATAATTGCAGGAAGACAGATCTCTGCCATTACAATGCAGAGGGGAACAAGGACTCACACATAGCTAAGGGACATGACTAGGAAACTAAGAACTGGTAAGGGAGAACAGGTTTAACACATAGTTAAGGAGTGTAATCAATAAACTCCAAATGCATGGGAGAAGTTGTGCCCAGTGAATGATCAGATAGTGGTGAATAGCGGGAAGTAAATGCCAAGTTTGTTACAGAAAGGAATAAGCTACTCCAATGCTTTACAGCAAGAAACTGCCACTTTTTTTTTTTTTTAGTTTTTTCTTCCTTTCTCTCCACTTTCATTAAAATTAGAAACAAGAATATTTTACATGTCAATCCCAGTTCCTTCTGCCTCCTCTCCTCCCCTACCCCCCCCCCAACTAACACCCTACCTATACCATATCCTTTCTGCTCCCCAGGGAAGGCGAGGCCTTCCATAGGGGGTCTTCAGAGTTTCTTTTATTCACAAGACTATAACACCAAATTTGACTGCATATTGCTTTAAATTCCTCCATGCAGAGCCCTTCGTTCTGGAGGGTAATTTCCTAAAATGATGGCTGCATAAGTACTGTGTGATCTTGCGGTTTGCAACATCTATGTAACAGTATCTATTTATTAAGACAGATCCCAAGCATGAGATTGGATTATACACAAGAATCATAACAAAAACTAGTAAATAAATCAGAATTCTAAAACTCTTCTTACATGTACTTTACATCCCAAGACAAGGGTCTTGTGTGGAACAGCCAAGCTCTTATTATACACAATTATTGAATTCATAAACGAACATTTTCCACATATCTTTTTCTCTAATATATTTCCTAATATTTTTGTGACAAAAAGCTTTTAGATATCCTATTTGATATTCCTTCGAATTTTTATAGTATAGACCAAAGTTATATTTAGTTTAAACTTTAATGGCACAATGCTGAAGTACTTAGATTTTAACAATGACATACAGCTTCTGGAAGCAACTTGGGAGACAGTTTTGAAACAGAGATATGAATGTTTCCAATAACATAGAAATACATCTTGTTTAATCCAAAGGAATGGGGCGTAGAGGTAGCATGTAACACAAGCAGGCACATATTATTTTATCTGTCTCATCATTTTAGTTTTCTAATAAACCTAATCTCACAATATATTTGATCTTTAATTTTGCTCTTTCAAGGACACTTAGGTAATACGGGTTTGTTTCTAGTAGGATTTCATATTTATTCTAAAAGATTGTTTATTTTAACATGCAAGCAAGTTCCTTCAAATTTTTTTTGTTTGTTTGTTAGGGACAATTTTCAATTCTGGTTTGCTTTGGGGATATACAGATATTGATTTAGAATTTAGCCTGTGTTCTCTGATTGTAGCTGCCATTATTACCTGCAAATTCTTAGAGAATTGGTTACAAAAGGGATGTGTAAGTAAGTGGGCCACTAATATTGATTCAACATGTGTCATGTCTCTCTATTTGCATTGATTATTAAATAGAGTTATTAGTTTGTTGAATAAAGTTCCCTTGAAACTGATGACTGACTTCAAGTTTAATCTCAACTTTGTTTCAGATAATTCAGATAGTAAGTGCTGCAGACCGAGATCTTTCACCTGCTGGGCAGCAATTCTCCTTTAGATTATCACCAGAGGCTGCCATCAAACCAAATTTCACAGTTCATGACTTCAGAAGTAAGTATAACCACTTACAGATGTACCTCTTGTAGAGTTTTCTCAAAGCACACATTGGGGGGAGGGTAGGATTCAAGGTAGTTTCTTCAAAGCAGTTTACAAAGCATAGTATCCACATATAAGAAATACAAACTTTTCAACTAGTAACAAATTAATTACCCTAAATTTATTATCTGATAATACAGGCAACTTTCATTATAAAAGGAGTTGGGCCTTTAATAATGTAATCAAATAAAACATTTTCTGGGAAACTGAGTGCTTCCTTATTTTGAATAAAGCAGCATAATTAATTCTATATTCATTTCTTTTATTTGAGCAACAAGCAGTTCAGAGGTTGTGAATCAGGCAGTTCAATTAGAGTGAGCAGGATTTTATTCACACTGCATTATTCCCAGGGGCCACAACTGTGAAAATTATCCTTTGTAATGTAAAATTCAAAATATCAGTATTGAGACCACATGCAAAACCTTTAATACAATGCCTAAAATATTTTGTTAAGATAACTTTAGCTACAACTTTAGAAAACATATCTTCCACTGTACTTCCACAATTATATTCTGCTATCAACACTTCTATGTCTAGTAATTACCATATCTGCTAATATTATAGCCAGCACAGAAATATGTGTTAGGTTATGTTATGGATACTCCTCATTTCATGGTTAGGCTGTTAGTTATCTCATTCTAAAAGCTGAAAGGATCCAACTACAGATGATTTTTTATATCTATAACATGTACATCTATACGTTTCTTTCCCATAATGCAAAGAACAATAAAATTTGCATACTCAGTTATCTTTCAATAATAATTTAGAAACAAATTGTTTTTTCACATGAATTGAGTCTAAAATATGAAGTTATTGAAGTTATTGCATCCCTCCAAAGAAAGAGCTCTAGGTTTTCCAATTCCACTTTTCTAAAGACTGTCAGTCAATTTATGATCTCCGACTTAGGTCATTTCCTTGATTTAACTTGTGGAGTCAATCATTGGGTATTGAATACTTCAATGGTGCTTCAGTCAGTCTTCATTTTCCTAGGGCTGTCATCAGCTCAAATATTTGTCCTCAACTTAATCTATTTGTGAACATTATTAATGGTGATGCTACCTTGATACATTACTCATCGTAAACTTTTGTCTCTGAAATGATAATAAATACAACTTATCAAGTAAATATGATCATAGCACAAAAGGTTTTTTCTTAAAGGTATACCATATGGCAATAATATAGAGAATCTGGCTATAGAAATTTGTGTATCCCATTTAAAATTAACATAGTTTAATTTTAATTACTTCTTCTAATTAAATTACATGATTTTTAGGAGTATTATAAAATTTGAATTAAAAATAATATTTTAAAAAGGATTTGCTTCAATTGAGTGTATAGAATGAATAAAAAGTGTTTGCTGAAATGTATATAAATAAGAGAAAATGCATTTGCAATAATTTTGTCTATGGATATATTTCATATTATATAATTGAATATTTTCTTTGTATTAGTAAAAGTGAAATATCACAATTGTTGATTTTGTTAAAGATACAATGACTTACATTTGTAATTAGTAGAAAATATTAATTGCAGTAGTTCATAATATTTAGGATTTTTAATAAATCTTGACCTTTTTAGTATGTTTTGTTTTCCTTCCCTCATTCATTGTCTAATTATTTGGCAAAAAAAAACTCAATAGAGACCATTACTTTTAAAAATATCACTTACAATACATAGTTTCAAAGATATTATTCATACTGGGCTTATTAATATTTGACATTTCAATTTAGAATAATAACATTCATAGATGTGTCCCACCAGCCAATTAGATTTTGATATCAGAAAGAAAAAAAAAAGCCTGAGACAGCCCAACATCTTGTGTGTCTTTCTTGTTGTAAGACTACTATTTTCAATGGAAAATTTAGTTCACAAACCACCAAGATGAATGTTTCTTCTTTCTTAGAGGATTATTTTAATTCTATCTGATTACATTTTGCCAGGTTTCATAATGTTCTAATAAATAATTTAAATAAGGATGCATTTTACTGAATCCAAAAGAGCTTCCAACACCTTAGAAGATAACAAATTTAAAAGTTGAAGTGAAACTCACAGTAACTATGTTATCACAAATGTCATGTTTTGCAGACAACACAGCTGGCATTGAAACCCGGAGAAATGGATACAGCCGCAGGCAGCAAGAGTTGTATTTCCTTCCTGTTGTCATAGAAGACAGCAGCTACCCTGTCCAGAGCAGCACGAACACAATGACTATTCGAGTTTGTAGATGTGATTCTGATGGGACCATCCTGTCTTGTAATGTGGAAGCAATTTTTCTACCTGTAGGACTAAGCACTGGAGCTTTAATTGCCATACTACTATGCATTGTTATACTCTTAGGTTAGTTTCCATATTATTCACATTTTATGCTTCTCTATCTGCCTCTCAACCCCTTCTCCCTTCAAATTACAATGTCTATAAAATATTCTATACTGAGCTGTTTATAAAATCATTGGTTATTTTAAATATTTTTATTAAATATATTTTCTATTTGCTATTTCCCTTATAACATCAACAATAAGATCGTTAAGTCATAACGAATATTAATGTTGAAAATTTGACTCCTTTCCTATCATGAAATTCTGTGACAACTATACATTTAAAACCATTTCATTTTCATTAAATCACATGCATGTGCATGAACTGGGTTTGAAACTTTTTAAAATTCTAAAAATATGTCATTCATAAAAAGTATGCTAATTATACTCAATAATCTTGGATTTAGAGTATAATTACAATAAAATTATATAAATAGCTATGCTTACTAATGCAATCCTTAATTATTCTGAATTGTACTTCCATTGTATCTCATCTAATAAGCAAGATTTTCTATCCATTCTTCAGTTGAGGGGCATCTAGGTTGCTTCCAGGTTCTGCCTATGACAAATAGTGCTGCTATGAACATCATTGAACAGATGCCCTTGGTGTATGAATGTGCATCTTTTGGGTATATTCCTAAGAGTGGATTTGCTGGATCTTGTGGTAGATTGATTGCCATTTTCCTGAGGAGTTGCCATACTGATTTCCAAAGTGGGTCTACAAGTTGGCACTCCCACCAGCAGTGGAGTTTTCTCCACATCCTCTCTAGCATAAACTATCATTGAAGCTAGATTTTATAATCAAATAACAAAACCATTTCGCAGTTAACTTTGCAAACTATTAATTATCATTGCCTAATAAAACTATAATATATTTTAAAATACCCAAGATGAATAATACTTGTAATTTCTAGCTTACCAAAGAAATGAAGAAAACAGAAGGGCTAGGAAAGAAGCAGAAGACAAAGTGGCCCCAAACATGTTTGCATTCTGTTTGCACTGCCATGCCAAAATATCTTAAACCCTTTCAAATCATTCCACATTCAAAAACAAATTTGTAAAATTTCTAACTCTATCAGAGAGAGCTGATTGATTTGTCTAGAAACACTTCTCTGAAAATGTCTGGTGTAAGTGTGTATTTTGTAATGGTGTATGAAAATAAATATATATCAAGTAGAAGGTTTTCACTCTGGCATTAATTTTTTTCAGATTTCCTATCTACTGATTGCTTCAGTGACACAAATTATTTATTTTTATGGTCACTCTTTAAAACAGAAAGAAACAGATGTAAACCTGTGCACTGAGCTTAAACAAGCATAGTGATCATTTAAAACATTCTAAAAATAGAAGGACAATAGCTTTTTTTCTAAAATAGAAATAATGGAAAGCAATATTTGACATTTTATAGGTAATAATCCCTGTGCCAGATGCTCATGGTGACACTGAATTCTAGACCAGTTTGAAATGCATAAGTATTAATTCTGTGTGGATAACTTGGCTACATGAGAAAAATCATTCTTTATATCTTCATAATACATGATAATATTTGTCTAGCATATGTTTTACTGGCATTAAAGACTTCATACTGTATATTCAAATAAAATTCTCACAAAGAAATTATTCATGTTTAATTAGTATTTAAATTCAACTAAGATGTACCCATTTTCCTCTATGGTCAGATAGCTGATCGAATCTCAGAGTATTTGTCTATCTTTATAACAAGGCTCAAAATCTTCCAGGTATTCTCTTTTGGTTCATGTGACCTTCATGAAGTACTCAAGCAAATTGTTGTCTCACCAGTATCATACAATGTCACTTGGAGTCCAATTGTCTATCACATTTCTTCCTGAATAACCATAGTTTATTTGTACAGGTCTAGGTACTATGTTTTCTTCCTTTTTCTCCATCATTTTTTTTTATTTTACATACCAACCACATAACCCTCTTTTTCATGAAAAAAGGATCATTTGCATCTGTTGTCTTTTTAATAGATTCTGTTTTAAAATAGATCTATTTCTTGACCATCCAGCCACATAATGTTTACTTCACCATTTCATGTCCTTTCATGAAGTGAAGAAAAACAATAGAAATCTGCAGGGCTGGTGCTTCTTTTTCATGGCCTTCCACCATATCTAATGGAGTCTGTTTTTTTACCTTTGCATTGCTAAAACTTTTTGACACTTTGGAATACTCACTAAGGTTTTCAGTATATCACCCAACCACTGGGTTATCAGCAGCAGTGACATTAAACTGGCTATTATATATGCCAAGGGGAAAATGTACAGTTGCAAATATCACTCATGGAACTTTTTTATGGAAGCAACAGCTAAGGCTCATGTTTCTTTCCAATATATTCAATTTTAGTTTAAAGGGAGTGTGAGTAAATACTTGACCTCTTCTTGAGTTTTCCATACTCTTTCATTTAATCTCTGCTATGGAAAAACCAAGGACATTTCACCTTTATTCTATTGTCACTATTTTGGAAGGATGTGGTATTCTTGCCCAAAAGCTGAACATTTATTTCATCATGTCTATCTGTGTCCGCTGATGTTTTAAATAATCAACACCATTGACTTAATAGTGAGCATTCAGTCACTGGAAATAAAATGATACATTAATAAGGTGAGAAGATACGGCAAATTATTTTTTCAAGAAGTCAAATTGAGTACCATAAATATTGTCTCCTGTATATTAAACATCCCCGTACTCACAATTGAAACTACCAGATGTATTAGTTTACATCATGTATTGTGTTCTGTTTTCTTTCAACTTTCCTCCCTCTTTCTCCCTATGTTCTCTCCTATCCCATCTCTTTCTTCCCCTCTATTTCTTATATACTGTTTTAAATATTCTCTCACCAATTTTGAATATTTTACCAAAACACATATTTTTAACTAATAATACTGTGGTTGATAATTTACTCTGGACTGATATTTACATGTTCCTTTATGATATGATTTCTATATTTTTTGAATCAACTATTTCAAATGTCTATATATTTAGAAGAGACTTATTTTTGTTATTGCAATACATATGATATTGCAGTAAGATTTTCTTGGAGTCCAAGATAATAAAATAAAATTGAAAACTATTTGATAATATGAATGTTTTGCTATGATTTCCTGATATTTAGCATTTTAATGTGAAGTTGGCATTACAAATTTCATAAGCATATTGTGTGAGCTTATCGGTTATAGTTTTATAAATATGAACATGCTATTAGACCATCAAAGAAAAGCAGCTATTGTTCTCAAAACACTATAGCATTTACAGACAGTTGAAGTGATATAAGGGCTTCCTGTTAACTATTCTTGTGTTCTTCTAGCCATAGTTGTGCTGTACGTAGCATTGAGAAGGCAGAGGAAGAAAGACACCTTGATGACATCTAAGGAAGACATCAGAGACAATGTCATCCATTATGATGATGAAGGAGGTGGGGAGGAAGACACCCAGGCTTTTGACATTGGGGCTCTGAGAAATCCCAAAGTGATTGAAGAGAACAAAATCCGCAGGGATATAAAACCAGACTCCCTCTGTTTCCCTCGTCAGAGACCACACGTGGAAGACAACACAGACATAAGGGATTTTATTCACCAAAGGCTACAGGAAAACGATGCAGATCCAGCTGCGCCACCATATGATTCCTTGGCCACTTATGCATATGAAGGAAATGGGTCAGTGGCAGAGTCCCTCAGCTCCATAGACTCTCTCACCACAGAGGCCGACCAGGACTATGACTATCTCACTGACTGGGGCCCCCGCTTTAAAGTCTTGGCAGACATGTTTGGAGAGGAAGAGAGCCACAATCCCGATAATGTTACCTAGGGGAGAAGAAAAAGGCTAATACACATCTAGACAAGAAATAAAACACACATACACACGCGCGCGCGTGCGCGCAAAAGCACACATACACACACACACACACACACACACACACACACACACACTCACACACACACATATACACACACGCTCCCAGATTCTACAGGACAGGACAAGCTTCCTTTGATTACCCAGTTTCTATCAATCTGTTCTATTTATCGTATTGTCATTTGGGGTTACTCTGCTGACACAAGGTAAATCCTATAATATGTACTTGCTTTGTTTTGTTTGTTATTTCAGGAACACGCTGAGCTGAGCTCAGGCCTATTAAATACAATTCAGTGATATGACAACCTAGAATGAAGATAGCTTTGTGGCATCACGGTGGAAGAGTGTGAGATTTTTCTTAATTCCACTAAAGTGCCTATTGAAACTCTTATCATTTAACGTGGTGAACACAACAGTCTGCTGTGATGGCTTTGCGGGATTCCGAGATAAAGAGGAAGGAAGCTGATGGTGACTCTCCTTCAAGGAGCAATAGCTAAAGGCTGACTCTCATTCCTTTCAAGAACAAAGAAGAATACTTCCCAAATTCCATCATTTCTGAAGGCAAAGGTTTTTCATTTGTAAATTGTAAACTGAAAATAATTTGTTTTTCCTATTCTTTCAGAAACTGGAATAAATGAGACATTATGAAATTAAATATGTACATCATGAACTCTCAGAGTAATGCTTAAACCGTAACATTAGTTCATGTAGAAAATGCCAACTAAGCTGTTAGCTTTCCCAAAAACTAAAATTGCATACAGGAAATAAAAAGGATCCCTCTTTATGAAGAGACTGCCTCAGGGCTCAAATTTCCATCTTCAAATAAATATTTGGTTTCTTTAATTCTATACTGGTATGTGTAACTGGTTTTGAAATGTCAACAAGTCATTTAAGCTTTCAGGCAGAGATAAAGATTCAGAAGTTTTTCTACTGAAAGTTCTGAAAGGAAAATATACTCCTAATATAAACATGATGAAAAAGTCAACATTCAGGCTCTTAGCATTTATGTCAGTGGTACTTCAATGAATGATTCAAACAAAATACATATCAAACAGTGTGATTTATAATGAGTATGAACATTTATTCTGTTCTACTGAACAAATGTAAGTCAGGGACTTCAGAGAATAAAACCAATGACTAAATCCCAAAGGGAGCAAAACTTCAATGCCAGGCAGCTGAATCACTTGCTCAAGTGATGTGGATTTTAACTTTGTTGACTCAGTTATTATATTGGCTCAGAGTCACCTCCTCTAATCTACAAAAATGCTAATGTAAATTACTCCTTATAATTCTTCTATAGAAATTTTAAATGTCTGACAAGTGGTAGAATTTATGACTACACTAGTAAATATGGCTCAAATCAATTTCACACGGGTTATACATTATTCAGAAATTCACATGATTCAACAAATGCAAACTGACCATAGTGTAACACCTGTTCTTAACAATGTATTTGTAATAACTCAGAACTTCTACATACAATATGTGTAGGGAAAATTAAAAGTACTTAATGATCCATGAATAAGATATGGCTACTATCAAGTTTTATTACAAAATATCTGTGAATATCATTATCATTTGTGGGGCTATGAAGATAAAATGTCACACTATGGAATATTAGAAATTTAAAGAATGGCCAATTAATTAAAGCCTTATTCTCAAATGCATATTTTTAATTTTTTATGGTATAGAGAAATGTCCATTTTACTCTGTTTACCATATTTTTAAATTCATTTTATCCATTTTGGAATGGAATTTAACTTTTATCAGTCAGCATATCATTCTACTGTAGTTTCAATTTTCATGTAATAAATGTTCCCAGGATTTTACAGTGGAGAAAAGCAACTGTTTTATAGGTCTTATAATTACATTACCATATAAGAGAAGAAAAAATAATATAACATTTATTCCACTATGTATGGATATTGCCTTCTTTAAGAAGGCTAATATGAAAAACCAAATCCCATTAAGACATGATTCTTGTCAAACACTTTTGCATATACTATTTTCACAGGAAATATAACTGCCTTTTCATGTTGCTAAGCAGAACCCATGATGACATGAAAATCTGAGAGAAAAATTGTTTTAAACCCCATGACTAAGAAGATATGAAAATATGCATTGTGTAGCTGTTAAATTTCATCACATATATAACTCCAAATATCTTTGTCATTTCCTACATTACTTCATGTGTTTTCTAGGATGATCATAGCAAATTATTACAGATGGTTTCCCCTCAGCATGTTCTTCTGGTCTTTGAGAGGACCTGTTTTCTCTTCCTGTTTTACCCTCTTCCCTTTGTGGTCTGGTCTCTTTGCTTCTTTCTGTTTCTTTTTTCATAACACAACCTTCTTATTAGAACAACATCTAGACACAGGGCTTGTTTTTACCTGGTTTACCTTATTAAAAGCCTTCTCACCAAATCCTACCACAGTCTAAGGAATTCGGGTTGGTACTTCAGCATGTGGGTTCATTCAATCCCAATCTGATGACATTAACAATATTTACTTTCTAAAATGCATTTGATTTACAATAACCAATGAAAGTAACATAAAAATAAGCTTAAACATAATGATCAAATTAATATGTGATGTGGAAAAGACATCTTTTTGTGCTTACAATTAGAAGGATTATAATATCTTTTAGGCTAACAAATATTAGGACTAAGCTAATTCAATTTCAATACCTGAAATACATGTTTATTCAGACAAATAGGTGTTTGCTTTCATTCAGGCATTAGGCAATATAAAATTGTTAAAATTTATATGAATGATTTTAGTGATAAACCACAATTTTGTTATTAGCTTGCATGTCCATCTTTATTTACCGACATATGTACACATATATAACTTATGTGTTGCCTTTAATGCTATTCAAAGAAGTGTACAGTGAACATACAAAAGTTCAGCAGTGGTATTGATATACTAGAAACCAATCTCTGTGCTTTGTACCATACTCACTCTTTGACTCAAGTGGTCCAAATTCCTTGGACCAAATTCCTTGGCCTCCAGTGTTTTATTCTCTTCACTAAAACTAATTTGATATATTCAATGTCATGTACAATTAATCTGAAAAATTCTTGTCCTTAAATTATAGTAATTATTGTATGAAGAATACCAAACACTTTACTAACATACTAAGATAATTTGAGACTCATGGATACTTGAAGTCACTGCACATAAAGATAATTTGAATCATGGAGGGATTTGATTGATTATCAGAACTCACTAGTTCCACTTCACAAAACCAAACAACTATTCCTTACAGACATATACAAAATTGTTCTGTGAAATCAAAATGTGGAAGAATGCACAGGGAGTGAGAAAAAGCATCATAACATAATGATAATCCAGATACTGAGGAAGGGGTGTTTTTTTATTTAAAAATTATGCAAAAATGTCAGTTCCTTTAGGAAATCTGAGCTTGTTATGCAATCCAATGTTGCTTGTAATTTTCACAAACCCTGCATTCCACACTAAGAACCAGAGATACAGCAAACAATAAAAATGATAGCAACAAGGCTGGAGAGATGCTCAGCCATTAAGGCTAGAATCACAACCCCCCAAAATGATAGCAACAACAATAATAATAACTTGAAAGCAGGTGTAAATATGAAAACATTGAATTTTAGTGAATTCAGTATATTTCTGAAAAGGTGGTTTAAATTAGAATTATGTTACTAGCCAAAAGATTGATTATGAAAGAGGATTCTTTCACATATGTTCCCTTGCTTAATGATCCCCCGCCCTTATCCTCTAAAAGGTGGCAGTTGGGATAGCACTGCGAAACACATTTGGAATCATTTTTTCATCTTTATGCTAAAATGTGGTTGGGGGAAGAAAAAATTGCTTGGTATTAAGAGAACTCGCTGCTCTTCAGGAGGACCTGGGTTCCATTTCTATCACTGTAATCAGGATGGCACACAACCGTCATTAACTCCCTTACCTGGGGATTTTAATACCCACTTCTAGACTTAAAATGTACCTCTCTCTCTCTCCCTCTGTGTCTCTGTCTCTCTGTCTCTGTCTCTGTCTCTCTGTCTCTGTCT